TGGTACCGGAGCGGGGATTGGTGGAGCGGGGAAGCCGGGCGGGGGAGGGGGTGGTGGTACCGGAGCGGGGATTGGTGGAGCCGGGGGAGCCGGGCCGCGTGGTACCGGAGGGGGATTGGTGGAGCGGGGAAGCCGGGCGGGAGGAGGGATGATGGTACCGGAACGGGGATTGGTGGAGCCGGGGGAGCCGGGCCGCGTGGTACGGAGCGGGGATTGGTGGAGCCGGGAAGCCGGGCGGGGGGAGGAGGGATGATGGTACCGGAGCGGGGATTGGTGGGCCGGGGGAGCCGGGCGCGTGGTACCGGGATGGGGGGTGGAGCGGGGGCGGGCGGGGGAGGAGGGATGATGGTACCGGAACGGGATTGGTGGAGCCGGGGGAGCCGGGCGCGTGGTACCGGAGCGGGAATGGTGGAGCCGGGAAGCCGGGCCGGGAGGAGGGATGATGGTACCGGAACGGGGATTGGTGGAGCCGGGGGAGCCGGGCTGCGTGGTACCGGAACGGGGATTGGTGGACCCGGGGAAGCCGGGCCGGGGGGGAGGGGTGGTGGTACCGGAGCGGGGATTGGTGGAGCCGGGGGAGCCGGGCCGCGTGGTACCGGAGCGGGGATTGGTGGAGCCGCGGAAGTCGGGCGGGGGGGGGAATGATGGTACCGGAACGGGGATTGGTGGAGCCGGGGGAGCCGGGCCGCGTGGTACCGGCGCGGGAATGGTGGAGCCGGGGAAGTCGGGCCGGGGAGGAGGGGTGGTGGTACCGGAGCGGGGATCGGTGGAGCCGGGGGAGCTGGGCCGCGTGGTACCAGAGCAGGGTTTGGTGGAGCCGGGGAAGCCGGGCCGGGGGGGAGGGGTGGTGGTACCGGAGCGGGGATTGGTGGAGCCGGGGGAGCCGGGCCGCGTGGTACCGGAGCGGGGATTGGTGGAGCCGGGGAAGCCGGGCCGGGGGGGAGGGGTGGTGGTACCGGAGCGGGGATTGGTGGAGCCGGGGGAGCCGGGCCGCGTGGTACCGGAGCGGGGATTGGTGGAGCCGGGGAAGCCGGGCCGGGGAGGAGGGATGATGGTACTGGAACGGGGATTGGTGGACCCGGGGGAGCCGGGCCGCGTGGTACCGGCGCGGGGATTGGTGGAGCCGGGGAAGTCGGGCCGGGGAGGAGGGGTGGTGGTACCGGAGCGGGGATTGGTGGAGCCGGGGGGCCGCGTGGTACCGGCGCGGGGATTGGTGGAGCCGGGGAAGTCGGGCCGGGGAGGAGGGATGATGGTACCGGAGCGGGGATTGGTGGAGCCGGGGGAGCCGGGCTGCGTGGTACCGGAGCGGGGATTGGTGGAGCCGGGGAAGTCGGGCCGGGGAGGAGGGGTGGTGGTACCGGAGTGGGGATCGGTGGAGCCGGGGGGAGCCGGAGCCGGGGAGCCGGGGGGGGGGGGGGTGGTGGTACCGGAGCGGGGATTGGTGGAGCCGGGGGAGCCGGGCCGCGTGGTACCGGAGCGGGAATGGTGGAGCCGGGGAAGCCGGGCAGGGATGATGGTACCGGAACGGGGATTGGTGGAGCCGGGGGAGCCGGGCTGCGTGGTACCGGCGCGGGAATGGTGGAGCCGGGGAAGTCGGGCCGGGGAGGAGGGGTGGTGGTACCGGAGCGGGGATCGGTGGAGCCGGGGGAGCCGGGCCGCGTGGTACCAGAGCAGGGTTTGGTGGAGCCGGGGAAGCCGGGCCGGGGGGGGGGGTGGTGGTACCGGAGCGGGGATTGGTGGAGCCGGGGGAGCCGGGCCGCGTGGTACCGGAGCGGGGATTGGTGGAGCCGGGGAAGCCGGGCCGGGGGGAGGGGTGGTGGTACCGGAGCGGGGATTGGTGGAGCCGGGGGAGCCGGGCCGCGTGGTACCGGAGCGGGGATTGGTGGAGCCGCGGAAGTCGGGCGGGGGGGGGGGAATGATGGTACCGGAACGGGGATTGGTGGAGCCGGGGGAGCCGGGCCGCGTGGTACCGGCGTGGGGATTGGTGGAGCCGGGGAAGTCGGGTCGGGGAGGAGGGATGATGGTACCGGAGCGGGGATTGGTGGAGCCGGGGAAGCCGGGCCGCGTGGTACCGGCGCGGGGATTGGTGGAGCCGGGGGAGCCGGGCCGCGTGGTACCGGCGCGGGAATGGTGGAGCCGGGGAAGTCGGGCCGGGGAGGAGGGGTGGTGGTACCGGAGCGGGGATCGGTGGAGCCGGGGGAGCTGGGCCGCGTGGTACCAGAGCAGGGTTTGGTGGAGCCGGGGAAGCCGGGCCGGGGGAGGGGTGGTGGTACCGGAGCGGGGATTGGTGGAGCCGGGGGAGCCGGGCCGCGTGGTACCGGAGCGGGGATTGGTGGAGCCGGGGAAGCCGGGCGGGGGGGGAGGGGTGGTGGTACCGGAGCGGGGATTGGTGGAGCCGGGGGAGCCGGGCCGCGTGGTACCGGAGCGGGGATTGGTGGAGCCGCGGAAGTCGGGCGGGGGGGGGGGAATGATGGTACCGGAACGGGGATTGGTGGAGCCGGGGGAGCCGGGCCGCGTGGTACCGGCGCGGGGATTGGTGGAGCCGGGGAAGTCGGGTCGGGGAGGAGGGATGATGGTACCGGAGCGGGGATTGGTGGAGCCGGGGAAGCCGGGCCGCGTGGTACCGGCGCGGGGATTGGTGGAGCCGGGGAAGCCGAGCGGGGGGGGGGATGATGGTACCGGAGCGGGGATTGGTGGAGCCGGGGGAGCCGGGCCGCGTGGTACCGGAGCGGGGATTGGTGGAGCCGGGGAAGCCGGGCCGGGGAGGAGGGGTGGTGGTACCGGAACGGGGATTGGTGGAGCCGGGGAAGCCGGGCCGCGTGGTACCGGCGCGGGGATTGGTGGAGCCGGGGAAGCCGAGCGGGGGGGGGGATGATGGTACCGGAGCGGGGATTGGTGGAGCCGGGGGAGCCGGGCCGCGTGGTACCGGAGCGGGGATTGGTGGAGCCGGGGAAGCCGGGCCGGGGGAGGAGGGATGATGGTACCGGAACGGGGATTGGTGGAGCCGGGGGAGCCGGGCCGCGTGGTACCGGAGCGGGGATTGGTGGAGCCGGGGAAGCCGGGCCGGGGAGGAGGGATGATGGTACCGGAACGGGGATTGGTGGACCCGGGGGAGCCGGGCTGCGTGGTACCGGAGCGGGAATGGTGGAGCCGGGGAAGTCGGGCCGGGGAGGAGGGGTGGTGGTACCGGAAGGGGGATTGGTGGAGCCGGGGAGCCGGGCCGCGTGGTACCGGCGCGGGGATTGGTGGAGCCGGGGAGCCGGGGGGGGGGGGGAAGGGATGATGGTACCGGAACGGGGATTGGTGGAGACGGGGGAGCCGGGGAGCCGCGTGGTACCGGCGCTGGGATTGGTGGAGCCGGGGAAGCCGGGGGGGGGGGAGGGATGATGGTACCGGAACGGGGATTGGTGGAGCCGGGGAGCCGGGCCGCGTGGTACCGGCGCGGGGATTGGTGGAGCCGGGAAGCCGGGCCGGGGGAGGAGGGATGATGGTACCGGAACGGGATTGGTGGACCGGGGGAGCCGGGCTGCGTGGTACCGGAGCGGGAATGGTGGAGCCGGGGAAGTCGGGCCGGGGGGGATGATGGTACCGGAGCGGGGATTGGTGGACCCGGGGGAGCCGGGCTGCGTGGTACCGGAGCGGGGATTGGTGGAGCCGGGAAGTCGGGGGGGGGGGGGAATGATGGTACCGGAACGGGGATTGGTGGAGCCGGGGGAGCCGGGCCGCGTGGTACCGGCGCGGGGATTGGTGGAGCCGGGGAAGTCGGGTCGGGGGGGGAGGAGGGATGATGGTACCGGGGGGGGGAGCGGGGGGATTGGTGGGAGCCGGGGAAGCCGGGCCGGGGGAGGGCGGGGGGGTGATGGTACCGGAACGGGGATTGGTGGAGCCGGGGAGCCGGGCCGCGTGGTACCGGAGGGGGATTGGTGGAGCCGGGGAAGTCGGGTCGGGGGGAGGAGGGATGATGGTACCGGAGCGGGGATTGGTGGACCCGGGGAGCCGGGGCGCGTGGTACCGGCGCGGGGATTGGTGGAGCCGGGGAAGCCGGGCGGGGGGGGGGGATGATGGTACCGGAGCGGGGATTGGTGGAGCCGGGGGAGCCGGGCCGCGTGGTACCGGAGCGGGGATTGGTGGAGCCGGGGAAGTCGGGCCGGGGAGGAGGGGTGGTGGTACCGGAGCGGGGTTGGTGGACCGGGGGAGGCGGGCGTGGTACCGGAACGGGGATTGGTGGAGCCGGGGAAGCCGAGCCGGGGGGGGGGGGATGATGGTACCGGAACGGGGATTGGTGGACCCGGGGGAGCCGGGCTGCGTGGTACCGGAGCGGGGATTGGTGGAGCCGGGGAAGCCGGGCCGGGGAGGAGGGATGATGGTACCGGAGCGGGGATTGGTGGAGCCGGGGGAGCCGGGGGGGGGGGGATGATGGTACCGGAACGGGGATTGGTGGAGCCGGGGGAGCCGGGCCGCGTGGTACCGGAGCGGGGATTGGTGGAGCCGGGGAAGCCGGGCCGGGGAGGAGGGATGATGGTACCGGAACGGGGATTGGTGGACCCGGGGGAGCCGGGCTGCGTGGTACCGGAATCGGGGATTGGTGGAGCCGGGGAAGTCGGGCCGGGGAGGAGGGGTGGTGGTACCGGAATCGGGGATTGGTGGAGCCGGGGAAGCCGAGCCGGGGGGGGGGATGATGGTACCGGAATCGGGGATTGGTGGAGCCGGGGGAGCCGAGCCGGGGGGGGGATGATGGTACCGGAACGGGGATTGGTGGACCCGGGGGAGCCGGGCTGCGTGGTACCGGAGCGGGAATGGTGGAGCCGGGGAAGTCGGGCGGGGAGGAGGGGTGGTGGTACCGGAACGGGGATTGGTGGAGCCGGGGGAGCCGGGCCGCGTGGTACCGGCGCTGGGATTGGTGGAGCCGGGGAAGCCGGGGGGGGGGGGGAGGGATGATGGTACCGGAACGGGGATTGGTGGAGCCGGGGGAGCCGGGCCGCGTGGTACCGGCGCTGGGATTGGTGGAGCCGGGGAAGCCGGGCCAGGGGGTATCGTTAGGCCCTGACGCTGCAGGAAGTGGGCGGGGTTCTGATCTGGGGCGGTCACTTCACCAACTGGGGCGTGACGTGTAGGGGTCAGACCCGCCCTTTCAGTTCCGGTTGGGAACAGGTGCGCTTCCGGCGTCGCCGTTGCCGGGTGACGGTTGGGGCGGCTGCCGTTACGGGCGAAGGCCGCGGGAGCTGGAGCGGCGCCGGCGGGGCGCTCATCCTGGCGGGCGCGACTTTCCCACGGCGGCCCCGGGACAGCAGGTCGGGGCCCGCGGCGCTGCCCGCGTCGGTCAGACGGGGGGAGCGGGAGGCCGGTAGGGAGTCGGCGCGGCGGGGAGGACCGTGGGCACGTCGGTATTTGTCTCCTGAGGACGGGGGGAAAGTCCGCGGGCGCCGCTGCTCTACCGGCGCGGGCGCCTGGTGGAGGAGGTCACTGGTGCCCGGAGTTGTGTAAGGTGGTGGATAAAGCTGTATCTGATTTCTATGCAGTTTTTCTAAGGACATCCCTCTGGGATCCCGCCTGGGAGCTATGGGCACGACTGTAATAAAAACCTGGGTAAAGTTAAGATAGTTTGGGTGCGTTAACTACATTTCTATATTGTCAAATATTTAAATCGAGCCTTAATTCTGAATTTTCTGGGTATTTTTTTTTAGAAGTATAGCATTCTTGTAATTTTTTAAACCTCTACATTACTGATATGTACTCTTATTCTTCACTACACATCTGGAATTTGTTCAGATGAAAATTCCCTTAGGTTCTAAACCACTTTGAAAATGTTTTTGACAAGCATTAGGGGAAGGGACCAAGATATCTCACAAAGATGCTGAGGTTTCTTAGCACCAGAATTAACTTCCCCTTCCCCGCCACATCTGTGCCACAAGTGGGCCTGATACTGCAGACACACTCAGGTAATCCCATTGAATTTACTGGGGCTACTCACATGCATTCGTGTTTGCAGGACCAAAGCAGTTGCTGTCTCTTGGCTCATGCAAAGCTGAGCTCATTAGTGCTTTAAAGTTAATAAGAAACCTGCTGGCCTCTATTCTGTTTCAGGGAAATGAGTGACAGGAAAGCAGCAGGAAAAGGTGCAGCTCAGAAAGGTTCCAAACCAGCTTCACTGGTGAAGAAATCAGGAACGGCATCTAGAAAACCAGGTAGAGTTATGGTGGGGGAATCCTGGTTCTGTCTGTTGCTGTTGTCTTTCAGCCTTCTGCATCATCATTAGTTTGGGAGTTACAGCGGTTTCTTTCTGTTTAGGTATGGTGCTACCCTATGCAGCGGATATGGTCAACAATGGAACAGTCATAATGACCTGTGGTGGATGTGCTTTGTTTTCCTACATGCTGGAAAACAGCAGAGATTTCTTGTATAGGAATTTTAAGTTGGTGGCCATGCTGGTGAAGAAGATATATGATCTGGAATCACCAGTATCAGTGCTGCGTACCAACTGAGATGGCAAAGACTTATTGGACAACAAGATTTGGGAATTGTTGCCACCAATTCTACTGGATTGGTGAAGAAGGAACGTAAGAGTGTAGAAACTAAAGAAGATGACTGGCAATTTGTGAACAACAGAGGAAAGAGAAACAGAAACATTCAATTCTTCTAGAAGTATTGAATTGCAATATTCAGTGAGGCAACTACAGAAAATGTGTCTGAACATACATTTGGAGGAATGGAACAAAGTTACAGGGGGTAGCTGCTTGCTTCTTACTGGCAAGGATGTCCAAGAGGCTTTTAACGGTTCTAAAATGACAAGCAACCATCAAGTGATTCCGTATAAAGAAGAATGGACAGAGAATTCAGCAGGATGATGTGTAGCTTCCCTGGAACAAAGACATGAAGTATAACTGTAAGATTGGATGGGGATCTGAAGTTGGTTGGCAAGTCTCCTGGTGATTATACACATTAGAATACATGATGGACAGCATCACATGGAAGTACAAAGATTATTGAAAACGTCAGAGTTGTTAGCCTTAGGTACTTTTATGGTCCCCATTACTGTAGTATCTGAGCACCTCACAGTCATTAATGTATTTATCCTTAAAACACTCCTGGGAGGTAAAGAAATGCTTTTATCCCCATTTCACAAATGGGGAGCTGAGTGGTTAAGTGATGTGCCCGAGGTCACACAGGATATTGTTGGTGGAGCAAGGATTTGAACACACATCTCCTAAATCCTAAGCTAATGCTGTAACTGCTGAACCAAAGACGCATCTGTCTTGGAAGTGTTGTGAAGAAGAAAAATTCCAAGTCATCTCTCAGAGATCTTTCCATTCCTATAAATGAGGGTCGGCAGAAGGCAGAAATTGGTGGAGCTGCACCATTATCTATGTGGGTGATATGAAACTGAAGGTTTTGGTTTTGTGGAACATTGGGTCACATTCCAGTGGGAGAAGGGCCTGAACAAATAGGACCTCCAGCAACACAGAAGTAGGTGGGCTAATCTCGGTTGAAAACCAGTTGGAGCAGGTAGGAGTATCTTAAACTAGCAATTCCAGGAGAAGGCAGTTGTGCTACAAATGCTTAAAGATATCACTCAGGCTCAAGGTACTGTGAATATATTGAGATGAGGTGGGAAAGAATTTGAAGGGGGAAAACATTCAGTTCCTTTTATACAAATGCTAGGAGTCCGGGTAATAAGAAAGAAAAGTTGTAATTTAAAACTGTGTCATAGATTTTTAAGGCCAAAAAAGACCATTGTGATCATCTAGTCTGACCTCCTGTGTAACGCAGGCCATAGGACTTCATTGAAATACTTCCTGTTTGAACAAGAGTATATCTTTATAGAAAAATAGTCAATGTTGATTTAAAAATTGTGATTAATGGAGAATCTACCACAACCCTTGGTAAGATGTTCCAATGGTTAATTACCTTCACTGTTTAAAAAAAAAAAGTATGCCTTATTTCTAGTCTGAATTTGTCTACCTTCAGCTTCTAGTCATGGAATCTTGCTATACCTTTGTCTATTAGACTGATGAGCCCATTATCAAATTTTTGTTCCCCATGTAGGTACTTACAGATTGTGATCATGTCGCTCCTTAATCTTCTCTTTTGTTCAGCTAAATAAATTGAGCTCCTGGTACCTATCACTGTACAGTGTGTTTTCTAAACCTTTCATCAATCTCCTGGCTCTTCTTTGAACCCTCTTCAATTTATCAACTTCTTGCAACAACTATGGATACCAGAACTAGACACAATATTCCAGTTGTGATTGCACCAGTCCCAAATACAATGGTAATATAGACTCCCTACTCCTACTCAAGATTTCCCTGGGAATCCAACGATTGTAGTAGTCCTTTTGGCCACAGCTTTACACTGGAAGTTCATCCTCACCCCCAAATCCTTTTTAGAGTCTCTGATGCCATTATCTTTGGCCATTATCTTTGAAAACTCATGGCAATCGGGGGAAGTCCCAGACGACTGGAAAAAGGCTAATGTAGTGCCCATCTTTAAAAAAGGGAAGGAGGAGGATCCTGGGAACTACAGGCCAGTCAGCCTCACCTCAGTCCCCGGGAAAATCATGGAGCAGGTCCTCAAGGAATCAATCCTGAAGCACGTACACGAGAGGAAAGTGATCAGGAACAGTCAGCATGGATTCACCAAGGGAAGGTCATGCCTCACGAATCTAATCGCCTTCTATGATGAGATTACTGGTTCTGTGAATGAAGGGAAAGTAGTGGATGTATTGTTTCTTGACTTTAGCAAAGCTTTTGACATGGTCTCCCACAGTATTCTTGTCAGTAAGTTAAAGAAGTATTGGCTGAATGAATGCACTATAAGGTGGGTAGAAAGTTGGCTAGATTGTCGGGCTCAATGGGTAGTGATCAATGGCTCCATGTCTAGTTGGCAGCCGGTATCAAGTGGAGTGCCCCAAGGGTCGGTCCTGGGGCCGGTTTTGTTCAATATCTTCATAAATGATCTGGAGGATGGTGTGGATTGCACTCTCCGCAAATTTGCGGATGATACTAAACTAGGAGGAGTGGTAGATATGGTGGCAGGTAGGGATAGGATACAGAGGGACCTAGATAAATTGGAGGATTGGGCCAAAAGAAATCTGATGAGGTTCAACAAGGATAAGTGCAGGGTCCTGCGCTTGGGACGGCACCGCTACAGACTAGGGACCGAATGGCTAGGCAACAGTTCTGCGGAAAAGGACCTGGGGTGACAGTGGACGAGAAGCTGGATATGAGTCGACAGTGTGCCCTTGTTGCCAAGAAGGCCAATGGCATTTTGGGATGTATAAGTAGGGGCATAGCCAGCGGATTGAGGGACATGGTCGTTCCCCTCTATTCGACATTGGTGAGGCCTCACCTGGAGTACTATGTCCAGTTTTGGGCCCCACACTACAAGAAAGATGTGGAAAAATTGGAGAGAGTCCAGCGAAGGGCAACAAAAATGATTAGGGGTCTGGAACACATGACTTATGAGGAGAGGCTGAGGGAACTGGGATTGTTTAGTCTGCAGAAGAGAAGAATGAGGGGGGATTTGATAGCTGCTTTCAACTACCTGAGAGGTGGTTCCAAAAAGGATGGTTCTAGACTATTCTCAGTGGTAGAAGATGACAGAACAAGGAGTAATGGTCTCAAGTTGCAGTGGGGGAGGTTTAGGTTGGATATTAGGAAAAACTTTTTCACTAGGAGGGTGGTGAAACACTGGAATGCGTTACCTAGGGAGGTGGTAGAATCTCCTTCCTTAGAGGTTTTTAAGGTCAGGCTTGACAAAGCCCTGGCTGGGATGATTTAATTGGGGATTGGTCCTGCTTTGAGCAGGGGGTTGGACTAGATGATCTCCTGAGGTCCCTTCCAACCCTGATATTCTGTGATTCTATGCCCAGGATAGAGTCCCCCATTCTGTAAGTCCCTCTGAAGCACCTGGAATTGGCCACTGTTGGAAGACAGGATACTGGGCTAGATCGATCTTTGGTCTGATCTAGTATGTCTGTTTTTATGACTGCTGTCCTCAACCTGGAGCTTTAGGCATTCGTCTAGGTATCCCTGGGTCAAACCATTGAAGGTAAGTACTGAGACCTTAAACTTCATTTATTGTTCTATGGGAAGTCAGCGTAGTGAGCGGAAGACGGCCTGTGTTTCTGTATGAGGCAACTTCATTCTGTACTAGTCAAAGTTTCCTGAGGGCTTACATCTTCATTTTCAGGTGGATCACATTGCTGTAGGCCAACTGCAAAATGACTGAAGTTTGTACAACTGAGCCCAGATCATCATCTTCCAGGATGGGTCATGTCATAAATATAAAGGGACGGGTAAACACCTTTAAAATCCCTCCTGGCCAGAGGAAAAACCCTTTCACCTGTAAAGGGTTTAGAAGCTAGGATAACCTCGCTGGCACCTGACCAAAATGACCAATGAGGAGACAAGATACTTTCAAAAGCTGCGGGGAGGGAGAAACAAAGCCTCTCTCTCTCGGTCTGTGTGATGCTTTTGCTGGGGACAGAACAAAGGAATGGAGTCTTAGAACTTAGTAAGTAATCTAGCTAGATATGCATTAGGTTCTGATTCCTTTAAATGGCTGAGAAAAGAAGCTGTGCTGAATGGAATGTAGATTCCTGTTTTTGTGTCTTTTTGTAACTCAAGGTTTTCCCTAGAGGGATTCTCTATGTTTTGAATCTGTAAGGTATTTACCATCCTGATTTTACAGAGAAGATGTCTTTTTACTTTTTCTCCTATTAAAATTCTTTTTAAGAATCTGAATGTTTTTTTTTCATTGTTCTTAAGATCCAAGGGTTTGGGTCTGTGTTCACTTATGCAAATTGGTGAGGAGTTTTATCAAACCTTCCCCAGGAAAGGGGGTGTAAGATTTGGGAGGATTTTGAGGGGAAAGACGTTTCCACACAGGCTCTTTCCCAACCATATCCCTGTTAGACGTTTGGTGGTGGCAGTGAAAGTCAAAGGGCAAAAGGTAAAATAGTTTGTACCTTGGGGAATTTTTAACCTAAGCTGGTAAAAGTAAGCTTAGGAGGTTTTCATGCAGGTCCCCACATCTGTACCCTAGAGTTCTGAGTGGGGAAGTAACCTTGACAGGGTGGCAGAGTGGTGGGATTTACTTGAAATCAATTTGAGATTTTTGAATCAGAAGCACAGATTTTAAAAGGGAATTTTTTTTTCCTTTGGGCTGCTGGAAAGCAGGTTTCCAA